GTACACAGGAAACACATACCTTCTACTTCCATAATAGACATGAGTAACTTCCCAAACCATGCAACTATCAAGCGGTTGGTGGAAATTATTCGACCAGGCACAAATTAGAACAGTAGACATGAAACCTTTTTCTGTTCCTTTCGTTGATTCAATAGGTTATATTAATGTATCTGGGAAGGAAATGATATTATTGGTTGTTGCGTCTCTCTTCATGAATGTCTCCCTCACAGAGACAATTTACTTCTTATTTAAATAAACTAGGAATAACAGCACCAGCATTTGTATCCCAAAAATGTCATTTTAAAGAACTACTATTTTGCCCTTTTAATGTACAATTCAAATTTAACGATGAATTCTACAACAAAATTGATCTTGTTATGGCATCTCCGCTGGGTCCGCTCTTAGTAAACTGTTTCGAAGCCAATCTACAGAATAATCTTTGGTCAACAATTGAAAGTTTCCATTTCTGTAAGGGATGAGTGGATGATATCTTCTTTGCCTATAATGAAACTACTGACCTTAATAACATAATGCCAGCGTTTAGTATGTGCTACCAGTCGACTACATTTAGACCTTATTTAGAGTTGAGCGTAGAATTTCATTTTGTCGGTGTTACTTTTCTAAAGATCGAGAGGATCTCTACAAAGATTGACATATAGAAAGCCAACCTGGAATGAGTAACACACAGATTATTATTATTATTATCATTGGCTTTGCTCAGTATTATACTTTTGGTACAATATAGGATTCTCAGTACAACATATTTCAACAAGCTTCTTTTTTTAAAAAAAGAGAAAAGCGAAACAATCGAAAACTCCATATGTATATAGCGAGAGGGAATAGATAAACTACATGGAATTAAATGAAGTGCTTTTTTAAGATTTGAGTATGTACAACTTTCTTATTAGAAACAAATTTAAGAATACAAGTTATTGACAATCTGTTCGTCACTTTTGAATTCGGGAAATTTGATACGTTTCCTGCCTTTAAAAGCTGGAAGAATCTGCAGCGAATTGAACAAATTCTGACAAGTACTTGTGAAGAGTGGATTTCCTTACAAGTTCTATGAAGAAAATATGGAATCCAAACCCTGAATTAAAAGATCCCTACAGTACCTACGATTTCATTTATGTTTATTGATTTCAAAAGGGATAAAAATGCAAAGATCTTAAGAAACCAGTTGTCAAAATCTCAGAAGTGGACCTTTCATTCGACCGAAATTTGGATTGTTTTCTCCAGCTGACACCTGGTCTAAGGATGTGTTAAGTACAAATTCGTGATTTGGTTCAGATCAATATATATCAACTAGTTTACTTGGTTTAGTGAACATCTTATATTGATTGGCCTTACAAGCGTAGTCCTTCTAAGGGCATACGCGAACACTACTCAGCATAGCTAGCCGAACGTGAGTGCAAACAAATCACTAGTTCTGTTGTTGGGCACATAGTCCATTGTGGTCACCTATCTACACCACAGTCTTACAAAATTATTCAGTCAGAAAAACAGGTTTTAAGAGAATTTAAAAGGTAAACATGTGCATAGAGAAAGCTTTGGCAATCCGTTAATTCAAGCCTGAAATTTATGTTTGAAAGCTGTATATCAGATCCCTTAATTTACTAAGGACCTGGTAACTCGCTCTTATTTTGCTATTCATTTTTAACACACGTATGTTATGAATTTTCTTATATCAGTTTAACCAAACAAGAAGTGGAAGTCTTGACCTCAGGTTTTAAGTCTCATGTCACATAGTTAATTGGACCAAATGAACTTCGAATAACTTTATTTTATCATATTGCGTCTGTAAAACACTTTATTGACACAATTCAGTGTATATAGATCTAGAACATTAAAAATGAACTGAGTTCACGTCAATTCACAATGCTCATTATTCCTGATTTACAAAATCTTTTTTTCACACTTTTGAGTGTCAAATCGTAATAACACATTCCAGTAGCATGATATCACGAAAATCCCTTTGATGGTTAATTGGATATTTTGGACTTCCCCCCCAAAGTCTGATCTCTTAACGTTATAAACAGAAGACCCTTATACAGAAACTTTTCCAAAGATACTATGAATTCTCGTGTATGCAGTTTTAAACCATATTTTCACCACTTGATATTTTGAAAACAGATATTATAATTTTCATTTGCTCAGGAGAAGTAGAAAATCGAGATAATCTTCTCTATGTATAATGAAATACTTAACAATAACCTTGAAGCTGTATTTTTTGTTTTCTGTGTAGTTGACTAGTAAACTTGTAATTGTTGATTGGTGGAAACAAGGATCAATGAATAAGAGAAAGATTCTTCCCCTGCCCATAAAATATACATTAGACATTTTTCGGATTTCTTTTTTCACAGAAGAGAACGTAAAAACAGGCCAATAAACGGTTTCTACTTCTATTCAGGAAAAATTATCTTGCCTAGTGAATAGAGACCAAATTTTGGCATGAAATTCAATATTTTTCCCAGCCGATATAAACTGAAAGAATGAAACGCTCGCACTCGATCAGTATTATTGGTTGTAAATACATACACAAACTCCCATTAAACTTCTAGAATACACTAGGTTCGTCTTCTTGCAAGATGAAAGCCGCTAGCTTCTTTAAAATGGTGAATACTTGAAGTTGATTATTTTACGATTATATCCACTTAACATATATCTGGCTTTTTCATCGATCACACAACGTATATGAATTAGGCCTCATAGTAAGTTTTTAATATCAATGGACTATAAAAACCATACGAACCTAGTGACATTTTCTACCGTGATTATTTGTATATGGACAGAATTTAAGGGGAACACAATGGATCGTAAAACTGGTATGATGATCGTTAACTTCTCCATTCGCTGTTAATTCACAAATACTTGGTAGTTTGGTGAACTGAATTTAACCACTGTGAATTCCCGACTAAAGCAGTGTAATCTCATCAAAAAAGTTTGGTTGTGGTTCCCTCTAAAGATAATGATTGTGGCTTTTCATTGAGGTGCACAGAACAAGCTGTGAAACACATATGGAGAAATTCGAACACTTCTATCTGAAGTTTGTGCTGATGATGTCGTTCAGAAGAACGATGAAAGCTCCACGACCAAACCATCCAGCTCAGAGAACAAAACCCCATCAAAATAAATTCTCCAACTTTATACAATCTGTAAATCACTTACCAAATATAAGTTAACGTACTCAAACAATTTATAATTGAAGGTTAGTGACGCAACATGACACTAAAGCCAATTAGGTGAAGCAGAATTAGAACTCGCGTTCTAATGATTGAAAGTCAAACGCTCTAACTACATAGTCGATGCTTCTAATTTGGTCTAAAAGCTGTTTCTTTCAAATAACTTTGGAAAAAAACCTGATAAATACACACGATATTCACTTCGCTATCATTGTAAAGATAATTATTTGACTTTTAATTTGTTCAGATTAACTTCTAGTTGCACTGTGTACACCATAAACCTTAATACTATGAATCCATAGAGCTTGTAGTGTACTACTTCAGGGTTATGGTCACTTCGCCAAGCATTAAAATGCTTTGACGAGGAAACGTTTCGAATTTTATGTCTCAGCAACTAGCCCATGTCTGATAAAGGATACTAACTCGAGCGTGCTCATAATGTGGAAACAAAATTAGTGAAGGGTCTTTCTAAATTCCCTTACGATAAGCGTTTAAAACGCCTAAACCTTTCCCCTTGTCGTATCGTGGGACGCGATGTGACCCTATACTGGCATCCCGCATCTTCAATTATGATTTAGGTGTTAACATGTCTTGTCCTTTTGCTCCCTCCAGCACTAATCTCCGAGATAACAGCAAAAATGTTCACAAACTGTGTTCTGATAAACTTAAAGTGGAGTCCCGTTTTTCCCATCCAGCTGTGAGTTTGGAACGCCTTACTCGAACAAGTGGTATCAGCCCCATCAATGAATATTTTCAAGGAGAAGTTGGACCTTTACTGGAAGGTAGTCTTTCAGGGTTAACACATGTTCACCAGCCTACCATCCTTATTACTGAAGGCTAAAAAGCCTTAATATTATGAGCTTCAAACAATCGCCGAAGTCCTATCGATTGCTCAAAAATAAGACATGCTTGGGGACCTGGTACATGTGAACATTCGATGAGACGAAGACACAGCTGATCTAGGATTATTTCAACAGGTCACCAGAACGTAAACACCTTGAGACAAATCTGTGTTGAAACTCGGCGAGACTATAATTTATGGACGAGGCGAAATTCGCTCACCATTTTGGTCAAATAGCGTCCTGGCATTATAGCTAATGTCAGTTCGTGATGAAACCCTATATCCAATACCCAACTCTAACCACAAACTGTGGATCATAATTCTTCAAGCTGCTTAATAACTCTCATTTAGCTTTAGTCAGTAGGTAGACACTCAATCAGTTTGGCGTCGCTCAAAGGTCATTCATAAGTTATAGTCTCACTTGAAAGTCTAGTCCCTTAAAATAGGGAAACTCACATGGTTGAAATGAAGCTACCTGTAGTGGCTTTGTCCTTTTGCGATGTACTCTGGACAAAAAACACGTCATTCACCTTGACTATCTGGAATCAAGCATGGGAAGACTTTGAGTCCCCACACATCAACCACATTTATGAAGAAAACACACAAGCAACTTGTTATACAGCTAATCGTAAGACGAAGGCTTTGACCACTTACGATTAAAGACCCTCAACCTAAAAAAGCATATGTCAACAAACGAAAACTAATGGACACACAGCAATTCCATCTAAAAGATTTCTAGATTACTAAAGCTTCCTGTAACTAATATAAATCAACGTGACAAGGTACTAGTACAGTCCAGTAGCTTCGCGACCATTCCATATATAATAACGTACATAAAAAAGAGGAACAAGTCTATAACAATTTATTTTGCTAGTATTAAGTGTCTATTATCTGCACAATGGACTTACATCCATATTTGGACCAGAAGTCTGGTTGAGATGGAAAATAGGCCTAGGTACATGAGGGTATATGCATCCTCAGAAAGCATACAAAATGAGGAAAGCCATTACCAGGCAAAACAGACCCATTGCTTCACTCAGAGCGAAACCAAGGATAGCGTAGGTAAATAGTTGCTGTTTTAGACCAGGATTTCTGGCGTATGCCAAAGTCAAACTTCCAAATACAGATCCAATACCAGCGCCTGATCCAGCACATCCAACAGTAGCCGCGCCAGCACCAATGTATTTGGCTGCTTGATCAATATCTTTTCGGACAGAAGATATATGGAAGTGGCTTTTGGGGATAATGCATGAAACAGCTGTCGGAGAGAATTTGACAGTTGAAGTCTTCATGACATTGATAAGTGTGGGTCTGAGGACCGCATTGAATAAGGTAACTGGCATCTAAAATGACGATTGAAAAGAGTTGAAAGCCCTCATCCAGACTCACTCGTAAGCAAACCGAGTGGAAACAAGTGAAATAACCTACCATCCCCAAACGCTAACGTGAAACTCGGCAACAAGACAACTGACCCCAACAATGAGATCTGAACCCGACAAATTAAAACAAGAAATTTTAAGGATGATAACTAAGTCTTCCTTTTATGAATTAATACTAACTTTTACTGTGAATTTGCTTTGTAAAGTCATAAAATGTTATACCTGTTTCTTTAGAAGTCCTTAAACGTAATTGTACTTTGAACGCAGTTAAGCAGAGCTGTCGAGCTATTCGTTTTTTTGAATCTGTGTCTGCTTATTAGAATAGCGTTTCTAGCTATACGAAGGTATGGTCTCTCCCATATCTATCCAGGAAAACGATTTGGTTTCTAATGGAAGTGATCAAGAGATGAGACCTAGATCAATCCCGATCAGCACTAAATGACTTAAAGTAAACACTTAGTTCTATTTATAAGGCAGGGTAAAGGATCCCACCGTTATGGCTTCTAGGAAGAAATTCTATAACTTCTTGAACGGAGCTGTTAAAAAGCTCTTTCTTATTTGTCTTGAGTAAATCTAAATGTAGCTTAATGGTGGAACGTATCAATGATTTCCCGAGATGAAAGAAATCATAGGAGATTGAGTACACTGTTTCCCTAAAAGCTCACAACAACTAGTCAGTCAAGCTCATATAATTCCTGGCTCATCGATTATCTAAATATATCTCCGGACCTTTTCATTCCTGAATTCTGGTGTGGTTGGCTTTAGAATCCTTGACTGTAAAGATGCTAGAGATAACAAGGTTATCGGACCCTGGATACGTTCGACATATTTGGTTGTACACCAAAAGATAAACTATATATATATATACTTTTGCATACTTTGGCATGACCTTTTGTTTTCGAATTTTTTGTACATTTAAGTACTTTATGTTTATTATATCGGAACTCGCGGCCCAATCGTTTAAGACTAAAACTCCCTCGTCCTCATTTTTGAACTTACGCCACTCTAGCCTGAAAATATGAAAGTCTGGTGCTGTGATGCTGAAGTTGACTATCATGAGGACAATTCCTCATAGTATTGAAAGGATTACAGAGCAAGTTCAACAAGCACGTTACACCAGGCATATTTGGTAGTGATGTTTCCGAACTTCACGACATTTTGAAAAAGGTCATATTTAAAAGTGTAGGTCTAGCTGATTGATAAAGATTCGATCAACTCTTCTACAATATGAAATTATGACACGTCTCGGGAACATAAATGTTGCTGCTGATGGGAGCGGTTATTGATCAACAAAATTAGACCGAGACGTTTCCAGATAGCTCCTTTTATCTAAGCTTCCACAACTAGTGTAAGCGGTTCTCGTCTCATTCCAAAATAATGCTGTAGATGAGCTAGCTACATATGTCGATAGGGTTTAAGAGATTTGCACAACTCCCAACATCGATGTTTGTTCTGTCAAAGAAAAGCCCCAGTTAATTGAAAGCGAAATTACAGATCCCCCTAACACCATTGCTCGTTTTCTTTTCCTTCACCATGATCACAGGCGATCCAAAACTCATTAAAGAACCTCATCACAACAATGATCCATTTGTATACCGCGAGAAACAGGAAGCTCTAGTTGGTGTTGGTACCACAACACTTGTGGTAAACCTTCCGAAAATTGCCGAAGACCACGTAGTTTCTTAAGCCTTGAACCTTCCAGAAAATTCTACTGCCGGCACAAGTTAATAGCAATCGTAGATGTTGGATATATCTTTATTTCATGTTTCGCCAATATGATGGCGAGATTCCGTTATCTCATTGACACTGACATATAAGTTAGTCCTTCCTGAGTATCTAACTATCATCTGAAAGATCCGGTTTTCGGTTTATAGGTGGACATCTGGAAGCCGATAGCCATTTACGATAAGAGGTGCTCTAACCTTAACCCTAATTTACGCAAGCCCGTCCGTCGTATTTTTGTTGTTGTAGACGTATCAATGTCAACCTTAGGAGTAGACTAGTCTGAATTCATGTGGCGTTATTGGATTATGGTCTATGTTGATATCAGTGCACTTATCTATAGTACTAGAATAATAGACCCATTCCACAAACGTAGATTTGTTATGATGTGACTACCTAATCTACAAAATCCTGCATGGAATTCACATCCTATCTACACTGACTCTTTTTCGTCTGGAATATAATGTTTAACTCTTCTGAAAAATACGTTTACGATAGGGATAAAATAGTACATTTGGTATGCAAAGGAACCAGTCACATAGTCATCGAGCCTTCACAGCCAAGTCACACCAAGTCCAGTGATTGTTGTTGCATTCACCATTTTCGACCTTCTTTTTGGTACTTAATGTTGGGCGTAAATCTTCTCAGTTGTCGCATGTTCGGCTTCGAGGATTGTGTGGTTCCAATAGCATTACAGAGTTTCATTTTCTGGATGTAGGCTATTCCCGTTAGAATTAAACAGTTCACCGAATCGTACTTACAACCGACACTTGATAGATTTCCCTGACCACGAAAACCGCAACCGAAATAACTTTATGTAATCAAAAGGTTAGTGGATATGTCAACCTGCATTAATGCTTGTAGTAAGCATCCGAGTGAAGCCTAATTATGATATTTGTCCAGACAGACTAATAAATCTAATTCTTATGTAAAGTCTCATTTTGGAAAGGACAGGAGGCTTGATGGCCTGTGTTAGTCCTGGCAATGGTGATCTCTCGGTTGATCCAACTTTCTTTTGAAAGAGTCGACGGGTGGAGCCTCAACCACGTGCTGAGGTAGTGACTTCCACTCGTTGATGATTCGATGGGAAAGTCGATAGTCAGCTGACAAGTAATTTGCTCTGGGCTTGTAAACTTTTTTGGAACGTCCTCGTAAATTCTCTGTTTCGGAAGACAAGAAAAATGAGGGCGTATCAGGTGCAAATTTATCACTAAGCATTTTGTAGACTGTAATCAAGTCGCCTCTGGTTCTACGATATGACAACATGAATAGATTTAGCTTGGCCAGTCGAGCATCATATGGGAGCTTTGCTATTCCGGGAATCAGCCTAGTTCCCGTTCTCTGAACCTTTTCCAGAAGCTCACTGTCTTTTTTTAAGCAGGGGCTAGCCGCTTGTATGCAGTACTGAAGTTTAGGACGTACGAACACTGCATACAAAGTCAAAAACGACTTACCGTCGACATGACTAAAAACCCTACGTATTGACTATAAAGTTCTAAAACCTTTGGCGGCTATTGCACGGCAGTGTGCAATAGTCTTTAAGTCTTAGCTGACGATGACTCCTTAGTCATTGTGTGTCTGGACGACAGGTAGCTCAGTGTTATTTATCGTGTATGTATCTGTACCTTGATGATCGATATGCATCACAACACACTTGGAAGTATTTATCGGCAACTGCAAGGTTTGAGACCATTCAGATAATTTCTTCAGGTCATTTTGGAGTTCTAAGCTACCACCCTCACATCGTATCGTTCTCCATATCTTGACATCGTCAGCATATAGCAAGACCGATGATGATAGGAGACGAGGAAGGTCATTTACATACAAGAGGAACAGCACTGGCCCCAAAATTGTACCCTGGGACACTCCACTAAGCACAATTCCCCAGTTAGATAACTTTGAGTTCACCCGAACTCTTTGTTGACGCCCAACTAAGAAGTCTTTTATCCACATTTCTTAACTTGTATAACAGCCGGTTGTGCGGAGCTATGTCAAAAGCTTTTCCGAAGTCAATGTAGGCTACGTCTTTTGGTCCTTAAGAGCACACCAGCTTTCACGAGCCACTAATAAGTTAGTGAGACAGGTATAACCTATTCCAAGACCATGCTGCTTCTCCGAAAGGATCCGGTTTCCATCGAGATACTTAAACAGCTCCTTCCGAATAATCTTTTCTAAGATTTTAACAACCACACTAGTTAAACTAACGGGTCGTTAATTCTGTGTTTCGTACCTGTTTTGAAGACAGGACTTACTATGTCGTTCTTCCAGTCTTTTGGTAAGCGACCCTGGGTTAAGGACAGGTTAAAGCATATACTTAAAGGGTTCTCAAAGACGTTAGATAATTCCCTCAGTAGCTCAGGATGCAATTGATCGGGCCACGTGGGTTTACTTATGTCAAGCTTATTTAGCAGACCAAGGACATTAAGTTCTTTAATCGTCACGCTATCCAGTGTATGTGTGGGGTGATCTGTGTACGCTGACGGTAAGGGCGCTTCTATGGTATATACATTGCTAAAGTAGCTTGAGAACACTTGAGCCTTACCAAAGTCGTCCTCCACTAATGATGCGACAGTACTGTCTCCCCATAGTGCAGGAATATTTCCCCTTCTTTTTGTCCTTTGGTTTATATATGAATACAAACGTTTAGGACATTCTATGGAGTCCTTAAAACTTTTTTCCTCGTACGGCTTTCTAGACTTACGGAGGGTCGAGGCACAGGTATTCCGAGCTTTTCGATAATGAGATTCTGTCTCATCAGTCCCCAGCAACCAAAATCTGTCCCATTTTTTCTCCTCTTACGGAGAAAGATGCGAACCTCCAAACTGAAACATGGTGGAGCGTTTCCCGGCCCACCTGCTGTAGTCCAAGAGATGTAGGATGCAGTAACATTTGATTATAAATTTCGAAATACACTACAAGTCTTCTCAAATGATAATAATAATTTATTTCTGCATGAGGAGGTACACGTCACATTTACAGACATGATCTACAAATTACATTTGTTGGCTCATAGTATGCTTTTCAAGTAGGGTCGTTAAATAAATGAAATCAATAAAATTGAATAACAGTACATTCGTGCAGATGTCTTGGAGTGTTGATGATTAGGTTTATGCTTTACTATTACATTGAGTACAGTCTCCAACTATTTTCCAAAGTGGTATCGCGTTCACGCTGCACACCAGTTTCAATCTCAACATGGTCGTGCTAACTATTTATGCAATACAACTTTTTAGGTTTATACTTGTTATAAAGTAGACTTGTGGAGCGCTTGGTGCGAAACATGACCTTGAGGAAACGCGTACGTCAAGTTTGTTCCAGACGTCAGAAGTT